GGGAGGGGGGGCAGTGGGGGGGGACACAGGGACCAGTAGCTGCTGCTGTTTTGTGGTCGCTTCCCAGCATCTTTTTATCTGCTTTGAAGAGGGTTTCCAGGAAAGTTGCAGATTTTCCTGCCGCCGCCGGCTCGGTATCCTGTGCAGAGGGCAGGGCAGGCTGCACACAGGCATCCGGCCCCCCTCCTGCCCCCACTCCCCATGGGGGATCACCCCTCGCTGCCCCCCAACTTGGGGGGTGGGGGAGAGCTGGGAAAGGTGGTGGCAGGCAGCTTTCCAGGTGAAAATGTCCCTGCGAGGCCACCCCGGCTGGTGTCGGGGCTCCCCGGGCTGCAGAACCCATGCGGGGGGGACACACCAGCCCCCATTCCCACATCCCAGTGCACAGACCCCCCCTCCAGCCCCCAAGCAGTTTGGGATTTGGGGGAGGAACTGGGCACAGCCGTTCCCACAGTCTCACCCCAATGCAGCACCGGCCCTTGGCACGGGAAGGCTTAATTAGAGTGAGGGGGGCCTAATTGGAAAATGGGACAGAATTGGGGTCTGCTGAATGGGGAGGGGGGGCTGAATGCCCCATAGGGATCCCCAGTGACCCCCAGGAAGCTGTGAGGAGCCCTCAGGGTGGGCTGCCAGAGGGGATGGCGAAGCCCCCAGCACATGGGGGTCCCGGAGCCATCAGCAACGGGGTCAGGGGGTTTGGCAGAACCCCCATAGCATCCTCGTGGTTGGGGGGGGGGGCTCGAGGGGGGGGTGACTCACCGTTATTTGCAGCTCAGGAAGGAAACGGCAGTAGCTGAGAATGGCTTCGGGAGCGACACCATCCCCACCATCGCAGACACTTCCCGCTCCCCAGGGACCGCGGCGCAGCCAGAAGGCAGGAAACAGCCAGCGGCTCGGGGTCAGCGCCCGGCTCACCCCCACACCTCGGCCCCCCCTCCATCCCAACCCACCCACCCCCCCCTTTCCATCCCGGGCTGGGCATCCTGCAGAGATTTGGGGGGGGTCTGTGTGTTCCCAGGCACAGCTGACCCCTCCGACACAGCCCTGGGGGGATGGGGACATGGGGAGGATGGTGGTGGTTGGGGTCCAAAGAGGGTCTGGAAGTTGGGGGGTGCCCATCCTGTGCCCCACACACCCCCTCTGTGGCCACCGGTGCTGAGGGTCCGAGGGGCAGCATCCCCCCCCCCAATTCCTGCTGGTCCCTGCCACGGTGCTGCCCCCCACACCCGATGTGACCCCTTTTCCCTGCACTCAGGAGCCCCCCCTCCATGTCCCCAGCCTGTCCCCAAGCCAGGTCTCACCCCCCCACACCCCCAGGTCCCCCACCTCAGCCTGGCAGGGGGCTCAGGGGACCCCCAAACCTGCACTGGGACAGGGGAGGTGGCTACAGACCCACAGCTCTTCCTAGCCGTGCCCAGCTGGGCTAAGCTGGTGGCAGAGGTGGTGACAACCTGGTCGCCCTCACACATGGCCAGGGCCACCCACCCTCCATGTCCTCAGCTGAGGGTCCCTCGGCAACCTGGGGGTCCCACAGGTGGCCACGGAGACCTCTGGATTTGCCCCTTCCTCCCCAAACGGCCACTCTCTCCCCAGCAGAGACGTCCCCAAGTGGGGGGACAGGGACCAGGAGGGGCTCCCCGTGCCTGGTGGTGGGATGGTGGCTCTGGGGGGTGACAGCACCCATGGGTGTCCCCCCTGGTGGCTTCCCATAGCCCCACATCACCCACCCCAGCCCACTCCCACCCTACCTGGCCTGCAAGGTGTGGGAGAGGACGTGGAGCATCACTCCCTACGTGCCACCGAGCTGGGGGGGGGACAGCAGGGACCGGTGGGGACCCCATGTGTCACCCTCCCACCACGAGGACACGGCCCCAGGACCAACTTGGGGCGCCAGGACCCTCCTCCATCACCCCACCAGCAAGCGTGGGGGTCACAGCCCACCTTCCCTGCCCCCCAGGACTCATTCCTTGGTGCCCACTGTGTCGGGGGCTATTTTGGGGTGAAAGCTGGTCCTGGGGGAGTGCCCAGCCCTGGAATGGGGGGGGGGGGTTAATAATAGAGTAAAAACTTGCTCAGAG